TTATATTAAAGATCTATTAGACGCATTGCAGAAATGCATTTGGTAGATACGAAGCTGGAGTAAAGGAGTTTTCAAAACGTCCAACTTATTGGGAGCAATAATTTTGTATTAAAGTCTTCATGAATTTTCATTAAAATATACTAAACTAATTATATAGTAAATTAATTCTCTCTTAACATTGACAATGCTAAGAAAAAACAAATTCAAAATAACTTATTCAATTTTATAAATAAATAAATATATATATTGTAATACATTTTAAACGGTTTAAAACGCGATACATGTCTTAGTAACCTTATTTTTGGCAACTTGTCATGGTCACTGGGATACTAAAAATGGAGGACGTCGCTAATATCAAAGTACAGTCAGCCATGCTAGCGCTAAAAGTAATTAACTAATAAAGCGTATTAAATAAAAATGTTTTCATAAAACGTGTGCTTATGTACGTGTTACGTGATCAATTTACACTAATTTACGCCTTGATCCCTTAATGCGTACCGTGTAAACAAAAGTTAACTATACACTAACGTTAAGTTAATATTTGATTAACTAATGCTCCATTGATTTATTCACAATCCCATTAAACCCGACCTAAACGTGATCACAAATCGTTCCCACTCATCCATTGCCGCTGTATAGCGACAACCATTTATTACATACACACAATCGGGCGTATTAATTTGTTTTATATACAGGCTGCTGCTTTTTATAAGCATTTTAATTAACTTAGCACTGTCTCATTTGGACACTATGTAAAACTATTGCAGAGATATACCACTATTAATTTATTTGTTAATTACCGACTGTTTATTATTGTGTTTACAATAAATACTTCTAGATGCTAGGGAAATGGCTTATATAATGAAATTCAGCAGTGGTAGAGACTGTCTGCGGCTTATGGCTTATGGCTATTGTCTCGTCTCTTATTTTTGAAGACCCTTCTGTATTGGTTAAAGCAGTGGTATGTATTCACGATATTAATATATTGTACTAATTATATAGTGGCGACTGCCAGATAAACCTTTGCATATAATCTGATTGGTTACACTAAGTAACTTAACGTAACCAATTTCAAAATCCGTTTGAGATCTCAGAAAAATTCTATTTCTCAATAACTTCGAGACTACGGATAGAGACGACCGCCTCTCTAAACGTGTTGCCTAGCATTTCTTTAAGTGCGTGAAGTCCTATGTTTGAATTCCGGAGAAACAATAAATTGTTGTCGTCGGGCAGGGTCTGAACAACTATGCGCCTGTAAATAAAACCGATTAATGAAACGGACACAGACATGTTCGCCCCATGGCCCACCGGGACAAACAGTTTTTAAGTTTTTTTTTAATGACTTCTAACGTATTATTGTATTTGTAATATTCCACAAGCAGCCCCCGGCAGCAAATAATTTGTACTCGTTATTTGAGAAAAAATATCGGAATATCGTTTTCATCTTAATTTGTCTTGTCTAGTTAGTGTTGTTATAACGCATCAGATGTCGATATTGTTGTTGTTCGGAATTATGTTTTCGTCATAATAAGCTTAATTGGATGACAATATGATATCAGTTAGGGACTATGTCTTCACGTAATAAAAAATCTATTCTAGATTGGAAAAATACGATAAAGCGGGCGGGGTTCTTCTTTTAAATAAAACACTTTAACGGTTTCAAACGCGATATATTAGTTAAACTTATTTGAAAATGATTTTTAACTTCGGCCCGACGTTTCGGATGCTTTGCAGCAGCCGTGGTCACGGGGAGACAGCTGCTCAAAAATGAAAATTAATCTTGCAAAGAAAAAATAATGTTGGCCGGTTCACCTAGTATTTACATTAAAAGTAAGGTAAAATAAGTAATTCTCTCTAAATTTTTACTACTCGCATAAACTTCAGACACTTTTTGATTGTCGATGTTTGTTGGAGACTGATGCCCATTCATGATTTGCTAATAGCGAAAGAACTTAGACAGCTAATATTAAAATTATTATGAAGATGAGCTTACGATCTTACAATAACTCTGTTAAAGTGGAAAGGTCTCAAAGCAGGATAAAAGGGCAATGCCCGATGTTCTGTTAAGTTAAGTGCTCAGAGAATTGAGTTTATTAGAAGTTTGTTACAACTTGAGAGGTTTATTGTTAACACAATCACTGTTAACGATAAGTGTTTTCTTCGCTTCGTTTATCTTTTACATACTAAGTATAAAAACGCTATAGGCAAACGCCCGCACCTCCATGTTCCTACATTTTAAATCTGCCATATCTTCGGAAATATTAATAATAATTTTCAAACCAGTTTAACTAAAATATATCGAGTTTTGAACCGTTAAAGTATTATATTTAAATGTGTACTACTCGCGTAAACTACAGATAGTGTCACTTCTTTAATTAAACACTTTTACAATACATATGAATGATAAAAATGGTTATTGTAGGATAACTATATTTAAAAAAAATTATACTTATAAACTTTCCTTTATCTATTAAAAAAGCTTCATGATCATTTACTTAGTTTTTCTGATTAAGGCGGACAGATAGCGACAGCAAGTTGGTTATACAGTGTGTAATGACAAAGTCTAAAGTAATGATACCAAAATAGTCCTTATTAACAAGAATTACTGGGTGATAATAACCAAAGATTATAAATACATATTTCGTTACTTGAATTTTTATATAATTTTGATGGGCTAAGACACATCTAGTATGACGATAAAAATATATCACTAAAGATCGATGGGTTTTAAGGCATTAATTGGCAATCCACTCACACGCGTCTCACAAAACTAATTAAATAAAGATGGATGAGGAAAAATGCTATAACCAAAATTGTAACACGCTCTACGTGGCTTTCTTAAAGGAAAGTCGCGTATGCCACGAATTATAAAGGTACATATACACTACACAAACCTAAATAAAAAATACTACTTTGCATTGTTTATATTATAAGTAATTTTAAGTTATAGGTTTCGAACCCCCGATTTTAATATTCTACATAATTACTGTCTATAGTTTACCCAAATAGTACATTTAAATGAAACATTTTTAACGGTTCAGAGTTCAATAAGTAATATCCGTAGTTTAAATACCTAAAAAGTAAACACATATTTCGCGTTTTAAGCCGTCAAGTGTTTTATTTATACTTGCACTGGTATTGTTTTTGCTGGATAAAAGGTCACAAAATATATTTTTTGTTAACTCATTCGTTATATAACATTTGCTTTTTATAAATACTGTAATAGTTTACACTAGTAGTACACATTTAAATAAAACACTTTAAAATGGTTTAAAACGCGATATATTAGTTAAACTTATTTGAAAATGATTTTAACCTTCTGACTGAGGTCTCCCCGTAACCACGGCTGCTGGACAGCATCCGAAACGTCGGGCAGAAATTAAAAATAATTATAAATAAGTTTAACTAATATATCGCGTTTTAAACCGTTTTAAAATGTTTTATTTAATTGTTTTCTATAATTACCACTGCTACCCCTACCAGGACGTGTTAAACTCTCACATACTTTATTCAACATATCGTGTTGTTTTGAAGTATATGTTTGGAAAATTTATTTTAATTAATAGTATATGAAGATTTCCATGTATATCTCTTTTCTGTACATCGCTCGACATCAAGAATGTTGATTTCCTCACTCCAATTCAATGTGGTACGTGTAACGGAGGCTTAAGTAAGCCACGTATTTCACTTAGAATGACAGATTAGGGAGGACGTAAACACACGTTTGAATAATTATACCCACACAATACGAATTCGTACGAGTGATGTATGTAATGCCTAATGGATTACGAATCCGTATATTCACAATATCTATGAATATAGTATATATGTAACATTAACAATATCAGATAAATCGAACTGGAAATAAAATATTGTCTGAGGTTTACAGAAGTAGTACACATTTTCAACGGTTTATAAAGCAATACATTAGTTAATATGTATTGTTAAACTAAATCTATTACATACATTAGAAAAAATTTTTACATGTTATTGACATGATGGTACATTCATTGGGCATCCATTATACATTAAAAAACGTTCCGTACTGTTGCACTAACCAATTGAGCAACTACACTACACAGAATCGTCAAGTTTTTTCAATACATTGATAACGCACCCCTAGCGCCATCTAATTTTAACCTTAACACTTGTTCAATGTGTTATAAATTTCTTTAAAATTTATTTTAATTACGACCCGACGTTTTGGATGCTTTTGCAAATACTATCTATCTACGCGAGTGGCACACGTTTAAATAAAGCACTTCTAACAGTTCAAACTGCGAAATAATCGAGGTTTATTAGTTAAATTTGGAGTGTTGTTATTAAATAAAAATGTATTCATTTTATGGGACCAGAATAGAAGAATAGATTTTCCATGTTTATTTGTTTAGCGATTCTTTGAGAATATCAAATGAACGGCCGCTTGTTAATACAGCTGTCGATCTCAGTACAAGGCATCAAGACCTAAGCGAACTCGACTCCTACAAATTAATACGAAAACCGTTTTCCATCTGTTTTAATAGATATTACGTATTTTCCTATTACATGTATGAAACAGAAAAGCTGTCCTTTTGGCTCAATCGTTGTACGCGTTGTTCGAATCCCAGGAAAATAGTTTCGGTCAGGCAAGGCACAGAAGTATAGGGAAACATACAAAAAATGTGTTAAATATTTTATTTTTATTTAATTTAATTATTGTTTATATTATGATTAAATTTAGGTAAGGTGAAATATTTAAATCTTTTTACAATAGTCTTTATAGATCATCTAAAGACGATATATGTTTTATTCATAATTTCTGCCACAAAAAGCCAATTTTTTTCATAAAAAGTCAATCAGAAACAAAATTTGTCCTTTCGTACGTAAGTGACTGTATGTATAAATTAAATCTAATTAAATATGATGTTTACAAAATTATTTTACATTAATGCTCATAGAGGCTTAAATGTATAAACCAATTTGATTTTGGAAAATTTTTAACTGGTTTCGTAAAGAAGATTTTATTCACTTGGATACTGGACAGCATCCTTCTTCATTCTATTGATTTTGCGTTTAATTCTCTCTGTATACGCTGCAATAATATTGGACAAAAGTGGTAAAGCCGAGGATTTCTCATCATCTTTTACTCCTACTTCAGCGCAGAGATCTCGTCTTGGTCGTTTCACTGGTGACATTCCGGCTTCTGAGCTCATCACAGACGCTGTATATAAATACCCATTCCACTCCAAGTATTCTCGTATCAACTCGTTAATTAGAATTACCTCTTCTGTTGGTTTTGGAGCACCTGTGTTTTTGTAGCCAGGATTCAAAGCCACTTGCCTCTCTTGGAGTATTTCAGTTATCTTCGCCCGCATCTGCAGTTACAGTTTTAATTAATTCTTTGAGGGTAGTTGGTCCTAAATGAAAATAGGGCGAAAGCACATCTTGTTTAAATGTTATATGGATAATGGATTTCACATTCTTTCAAATAGACTTTGGAGTAATCGTCATTCTTCTCCGTTTAAAATACGTTACATTTTAAAATAAAAAAAGCGTTTTTATTTTAAAACGGTTTAAAACGCGATTTATATTGGTTAAAATTATTTGAGAACTATTTTAAATACGGCCCGATGTTTCGGATGCTTTGCCCGTTTTAAACCGTTAAAGTATTTGGTTTATTGAACGTGTACTACTCGCATAAACTACAGACAGTATTTAAATTTACATAACTATTTATAAAATAATTTTCATGTTTATTTATTACAGTAATTTATTCAATGTTTTTCTAAAAAACACTGCGCGAAAGAGTTATCGGGTTCATATACCAGGAAAACAGAAAGTTATTTTATACGAAGAGCTTGGTTTACAAGAAAAACTTTCCTGTTAAACAGATATGGAAATGTACTCGTTCTGTGTTACAGTTTCATTTGTTAGAAACCTCCGTGTACTGTTGTATAAAATTTTTTTTTTTATTTAAATAAAACACTTCTAGCGGTTCAAAACGCGATATATTAGTTAAACTTATTTGAAAATGATTTTTCTGTGATGCTGCCCACTTAAATGAGGAGTTACAGCATGTCAAGTAGGTCCTATTCAAGAACAAGCTGAGAGTCCCCCCGCAGCATCCCAGGAATAGGAATAGGCCACCCACAGTCAAACGTCAGCCCGCCTACCTACCATATGTGAAGGGAGTTACAGATAGAATTAGCAGAGTCCTAAATCGAGCTTCTATTGACACAATTTTCAAACCGCACAAGAAGATTCAGCAATACCTAAAACCAAACAAGTGTACTATCCCTATACAAGATGCAGGCGTTTACAGACTGGATTGTGATTGTGGCCTACCCAACATCGGCCAACAAAGCGTAGCATCTCAAACAGAATTGAAAAAAAAAAAAAAAAAAAAAAAAAAAAAAAAAAAAAAAAAAAAAAAAAAAAAAAAAAAAAAAAAAAAAAAAAAAAAAAAGGGAGGGGGTTTTTAAAAAAAGGGGGGGGGGGGGAAAAAAAAAAAAAAAAAAAAAAAAAAAAAAAAAGGGGGGGCCCCCCCCCCAAAACACCCCCCCCCGGGCCCCCCTTTAAAAACCCCCGGTCCCCAAAAAAAAAACCCGGCCAACCCCAAAACCCCCCCCGAAAAATCCGCAAGGACCCGGCCCGGTTCCCCCCAAAACCACCCCCAACGAAAAAGGGGGGGCTGGCGTAGAAATTTTTTACTTTGATGTCAGAGACATCCTCCATCATCGGAAACGTCGGGCCGAAGTTAAAAATCATTTTTAAATAAGTTTGAACTAATATATCGCGTTTTAAACCGTTGAAGTGTTTTATTTAAATGTGTACTACTCGAGTAAACTATAGACACAATATTTTTTTAGTTACATCGCCCTTTTCCTCTCTTTATTACACATTTTATATTAAAAAAAAATGTAAATAGCATATATCATGTATATAGCACAAAATCTATTTATGAAAGATTCTACTCTCTGCAGCTTATACATTAGTACTACATGAAATAAAAAACGTTTAACAGTTTAAATCAAGAAATATTTCATTTATCCTCACTACGACCCGACGTTTTCGATACTTAGCAGCAGACGCGGTTATTGTCTATAATAAGTTAATACATTTGGCGTTTTATACCTTATTCAAATATTCTACTAAATTCAAAAGATACACACATTGGAACGTGAAAATATAAAAGAAACGCCATTCCCCATGACCTTCCAGCCCGCCTAAAATGATTAATTAATTCATTATTTCATCCGAAGTTAACATTACCTCTGCTTGAAATTTATTCAGGTGACCGCTCTTCCTCAAAAGATTTTTTATCGCGTCCAAAAGCTCTTTTTCTGAAACCGCTTTGTTTTCGTTCATTTCGTTAAAATTCAATGAATTTCCAAAAGGATATGAAATAAATTGTTTTCTCACAACAGCCTTTTTGTGTGTACTGTTGCTATCATTTTGACAGTCTTATGTCATATTCAATTCAATTCAAACTCAAATGTGCTTATAGAACCTTTTTGATTATGATGTTGCAAACGAAATCGCCCCTGCCTATATTGTGGGCTACAAAATGATATTTCTATAATTAGCACAATTATTATTACTTCATATTGTTGCTATATTTCTAAATGTATAATAGTAAATACCTAAACAGGGTAGGGCCAACAGTCTATATACATAAATACTTTTAACATAATTAAGTAAAATAAGAGCAAGTTTTAGGAAAAAAAAACAGCAATATAATCAAATACTGTCTATAGTTTCCGCGAGTAGTACACATTTAAATAAAACACTTTAACGGTTTAAAACGCGGTATATTAGTTAAACTTATTTGAAAATGATTTTTAACTTCGGCCCGACGTTTCGGATGCTTTGCAGCAGCCGTGGTCACGGGGAGACTATCGCGTTTTAAACCGTTAAAATGTTTTATTCAAAAGCAATATAATCAATTAAACACAGGTTCGCTTCGCTAAACGCAATTTCGGTTGACAAAAAATAAGACATAGGCGGGGTTTATACCGACATCGTTCCGTTAAGCCGCTCTAACCAAACTAAAAAATTGACGCGGCCGCCAAAATAATTTTTTATCTTATACAATGCCATCATGTAAAAAATATTAAAGTTTTGAAATGGTTCTAAACAATATACACATATTTTATTAAGTTATCGCGGTGTATGTTTCAGTCTGTGGAGATATTTTATTTAGATGTTACAGAGCATTAGACTATTGCATCTTCCGTCAATTGAACTTTATTTGTCTGTTCGTTATAAAAGAAACTTAAAGAAAGTGCGCGAACTCAGCTTGAAACCGAAGAACTCGAACAAATGCAAGTCCCATGCGATAAACTCAACGTAATTTCAGCTGTCGAATCGGCAATAATTTTGTCTAGGACTTTATTGAGAGAAAAGAGACACGTCTACCGACATCAATATCACTTTGGTTAAGCTGAGGCTAACGCGCAGATCAGGACGGAATTGAATTTATGTTGCACACGTTATTTGTGGGCACATTATGGTTGCACTACCTAACAAATGCCGCGGGTATTAAAGTAAGACAATTTGATCTTTAACTAGCATTTACACGATACGATACGATGGCGACCGTATCGTAAACACATATGAATCTTTTTTACATACGCGAGTAGTAAACTTGATATATGCTTATTTAGATTATTTACTATATAGTAAATGCCTAGTGTTATTACACTAAGGTAAAAAAAATCCTTCATGTTTAAGGTACTATAAAAATTCCTGTTATGTCGTAAAGTTATTTAGTCGATAAATATTTTTTTTATCTATTCTAATGTTAACTAAATTAGATAATTAGAATAATTTTAAAAGTACGTATATATATTAGTAACATTAATTTTACCTACGACCCTACGTCTTAGATGATTGGTAGATAATATACAGTAAGCAGATCCTTTTTATTTAAGGCATCACTTATGTTCTTAATCTGCAAGTTGATTAGATTATACATGTTAAAGGATGGGTCAATAAGTTGCGCAAGAAAAAAATACGTAACTTATTCTTAATCAATACAATCCTATCAAAATTTAATGCATACAGCGTACGTAGTTATTTCTAACATTAAATCTTCAAAAAAGAGGACTTATTAAAATATTTTTCAATTACAGACTCGGCGGCTTATTTATTATTACTATGACATTAAAGATGCAAGCATCCTTAAAAGAAACAAAATATAAATAAAATGTTCAAAAGCATTTGACATTTTTATAAGAATTTACTGTAATTAAGATTCTCAACATTTCTGGTTAAGAAACTTCAATATAAATTAAGAAATTCTATCAAGACGTATTCAATTAATTCTGCAGTACGATGTATGTTAAGCCTTGTAAAATTAATGTTAAACCATTTTAAAGACCACTCAACTCTCGCCGTAATTAGGTCTAGCAACGTCTTTCATGGGATTCCATACTTTGGTTATGACCTACTAACGCAGTACAGTGGCTGTTAAGTACTTCTCATACAGAGCTGCTTATAATTTGAAAAGAAGTATTCTCAAAGTGGGATAGTGAGTGTCATGTGACCGAATAATATAATATAAATTGATTATATTAAAAATATACGTACATATTTAAATAAAACAGTTTAACAGTTTAAAACGCGATATATTAGTTAAACTTATAAAATGATTTTAACTTAAAATGATTTTTAACTTCGGGCAGACGTTTCGGATGCTTTGCAACAGCCGTGGTCACGGGGAGACACGTATATATATATATTCTTTATAAATTTATTAATAGACTAGCGGCCTGTCCCGCTTCGCACGGGTAGATATATATAGGTATACAGATATTTAAATTATAAGCATGCTAATTAAAACGACCTGGAATCACTAAATTAGAAAAAAAATGTATTGCGCGTCCTAGCTGTTAACAACCATGGTCTATCTCGCTGTGTCAGGAGCCGCTGCGAGCGTCCAGTGTTAGAGTCCCGTGCATGCGTTCGCGAATTCCAAGCTCTATTTCCTTCAAGTCGTTGCGAGCGCTCGGCGCTTGACTGTAGTTCGTATAGCTGCGACGATTGCATTTTTGCAGAAACTGAACGTTCGACGCATTTTGGTCGCGATTAAGAAGGTAAACTCTAATATCCTTTCCAAAAAATTTTTTTAAGAGAAAAACTCCCCGAAACGAGGAACTTTTGCTAATCTCACTTGGTCACTGATTTTTTTTAATTAGAGAAATTAAGAATAAACTATAATAATACAGAAGAAAATATTCAAGTTCAAAGAGATAGTTATATAATTTTATGCAAAGTGTGATTCCTAATACTAAAACTAAGTAGACTCTGAAAATACCTTTTTAAGTGAAGCATAAAAACTGATGTATGATGAATGTCCGATTTTAATCTAGTCTAATCTAATCGAGACAGTCTTGATTGGATGTCATTTTTTGGGTAAAAATTTATATTTGGTATGGATAACACGGTTTGATTTTGTTAGGCATTTCTATCAATTTAAATGTAAAGAAGTAGTTATAGTAATGTAACTACAATAGTTAGACATATAGTCATTCAATGTTTTTTGTAGATATTGATATATTCTATAATATTGTCAAACATTTTGTAGTTCTATCATTAATACTCTTCGCAGTGTATGAAAGACATTTTATGGCAAATTTTTTTACACCTTCCGTTGGTTTTAATAGGAATTTGTTAAGATTTCTAAGGCAATCTAGTACTAAATATAGCCTATGTTACTTCGTGATAATGTTACTTTCTAATGAAAAAAGAATTATTAACATAGGTCCAGTGCTTTTTGAGTTTATCCGTTACATACAAATCTTTCCTCTTTATAATATTAATGTTTATAGCTGTTACCCACGATATTATCGTACGCGTCCCGTCGTTCGGGTCGTTTTTGCCAGTTAATCTTAGCGAATAGACATATAGCGTCGCTGATTTTTTTTTAAATCATTTAAAGGGAAATCATTCTTTCAAATTTTAGGTATCTTGAACCGTTTTCGCAGCGTACGCACCTGAAACCTACAGAGATGAAAAATTTCCCCCGTTTTGTTCACATTTCTCGCTGTATCTTCGCTCTTATTAGTCACATTGCAATGCATTACATATCCTATAACCTTCCTCAATAAATACTCTAACCAACACAAAAAGAGGTTTTCAATTCGAACCCGTACTTTCTGAGATTAGAGCGTTCAAACAAACAAACACATCAGCTTTTTATTTATTAGTATAGATAGGCAAATCTAATATTACCAAACCCGTTGCTACCTTAATCATCTGTTTCTATTTTTTATATCCTTTTAAACTGACAAAATAATGTCGTATCGTACACTATAAACCAACTCAAGATACGTCCAACAAATTACAGTGTTCAGGGTCTTGACCGCTCTCAGGATCTGTTGTTGTCTTGCATTTGTTTTCAATGACCGTAAGCTGTGGAATACGACCGCCATTATGTCTTCAAGATGGAATACTTCCAAATCTATTGAAATCGCCAAGGTATTTTTAAAAGATTTTTTTTATCATTGATGTTAGATCATATACCCTAGACTATATCGTCTAAACAAATGCGCTGTCGACTTATTTTGGCTTTTGATATTATATAAATCCACAGACTGAAACTGAAACGCGATTAAGCTTCACGGTTTTTTCATCTGTGGACGGTGGTTCGTGACCCGGACAGAGTTGCTACATCCACCTATTTAATATCCAGATTTCCAGGATAGGAAGTAACTTTACACCAGCGATCCCGTCCAAACGTTTCGTGAGCTTTTAGTTTCAACGATGTTTGTTTTAATTTTTTTTATAAAATGCGTGAAACCAAAATTACGTAAATATTAATTAATGTAATTAAACTTTAAAACAGCTTCACACACTTTTTTAATGTTTATAATTTCTCATAATTTAACAATTTATTTTTCTATTTACATCATATTAGTTTCCCTATAATTCTTTTGTAAATTTACAAAAATAAAATTGAAGCTTATTTTTCATTGTTTTGATGTAAAATTAACGTGAATTTATACTTTCAGTGAATCTAAAAATACAAGTGAATTATAATTTTCTTAATGGAAAATCATTCCGCCTACGTTAATCTATTGTTAGATGATATAAGAACATGGAATTAAGTATATTTCATTTTAGCCCAATAATACAGACTAAATAAAATCATATTATAAATGTTAATATTAAATTATTTACTGAAAATGTGCACCATTTTTAGGATTTAAATTCGAGATTAGCTGAAATTTTAGTTCGATATTTGAAATTTCGAAAATAAATTTTGAATAAGATATCATGAAATACTGTCTGTAGTTAACTCAAGTAGTACACATTTAGATAAAAAAATTTAACGGTTTAAAACGCTTTACTTTAAAACGTTAGTT